GTTGCCAGGAGCTGGAGAGAGAACAGAATGGGTAGTGACTGCTAAATAATATGAGGTTTCTTTTCTGAGTGATGAAAATGTTCTGGAGTCAGATAGTGGTGATGGTTACACAAGCTTGTGAATATCCAAGAACCCACTGAGCTGTGCTCTTCAAAATGGTGAATTTTATGGTATATGAGTAGTATCTTGAGGGCAAACTTAGCTGATTTATATTGGGGAGGTCACTATGGCTATAAAAGAACAGATCAGAGGTTGGACAGAGACACACCTTAACAACTGTACACGTGAAAAAACTTCAGAGTTTACTTGTAGAGGGCATGACCTAGACCATGTCCTAGGACATAACTTACTTTTGCAGCTACAGTGGTGAGAGGGGAGGGTGGAGCCTTACAGAGCACATATGGTGACCTCAAGGGATATGGATCCTGTAAATTTCCCCAAGAATTCATTTTCCATTAGGGCTCTTACCTGCTTCATCTGGTCCTATGATCAATGCCCCTGAAGAGTTTATAATGACACATCTGATGCAACAGCTTACATACTTTTTAATAACTCCCATTGCTCTTGCCCTCAGCAGCCTGAACCAGCTCATTTCACAATCTCAGGCTGTTTTGATCCCCAAGGAATGTCTCTTCCTTTAAGGTGAATCCTATCTGTGATCTTGGTCTGAGACAGGCCAGGAGAAGAATGGAGCTTCAGGAGAAGGGTGGCCTGGAAGATGGGAGGCTCTAAGTCCACTTGGCCACATTGGGCTGGAGGTAGGTGATGGTCCCCATGACCTTCCCATGGACACTAGGAAGGCTCCTGTCAAAGACTATTGTACGATAAGCATGGGTTGGAGAGAAGGTATAGGAAAGTCATTGGGCCAGAATGCAAGGGGAATGTGATTTGGGGGTCAGTTGGGTTTATTTGGAATTAAGACATTTGTCTGTATTGCCTAATGTATTGAGTGGGATTTAGATCAGAAGGTAGGAGGGAGAGCAGAATGGAGACACCACTGGTTTCTCCCCCACCTCCCACATGCACACTACAGCTTCCTCCCACGCCTAGGAGAAAACAATCCAGGCCTTTCTCACACTACCCATCCTCTGATGTTTCCCTTTTAATCCTCTTTTATTTCTCCACCTCTTTCTCTTGCCTGCTGCCTCTCCAGGTTTTCATTCCTTTTCTAGTGCTATACCTCCATCATATCCTTCCTTAAGTCCTTTGCTTAATAAAAGCTGTTAATACTCCCAAGATGACCACCGGCGAGATTCACTCTCATTTTTGGAACCACGTGTTCCTTTTCCCTTCCTCTCTCTTAATCCAGTGCGGACTGATTGCCTGAGAGAGAGACAGATGGGAGACAAGATTAAATATCAACAGAAAGGGGTTCGGAACCTTTCTTTACCCCATATACGTCCATGTCCTTTCTTTATGTCTCTGTTTTCTTTCCCATCTAGAATCCCTCTAAATCTATGCTCTATGCAGGTAGATGGAAGAATCATTTCCCAAGATTCTTATAAGTTTGTGGAAGGGATGCTGACTATGCTAAGATGATGCTTCCAGGTTCCTAAGTCTGGCGATGCTGGGAATTAGGATGCTTGAGTTCTCTTCAAGGTCCCTGAAACTGAAATCTTCCATGAAGTGACTACTCACTCTCTTCCCACCTGTCTCAGTGGTCTGGCCCATCCTAGCCTTCCATCCACTATCAAGCTATCAAACATTCTTTTGGGAACCATCTATGAGAAAGGTTATACGTGCATTAGGAACTGTATAGTGCTAAACATATCAGACATTACAAGCCCATGTGAGGTGACACAGCCATCCTTATGGAAAATTACCAGTACATGGCAATGTATGAAGAAGCTAATTACCCTTGGGCCTTGAAGGAGAGGAACAGGATGGCAAAGCAATGCGGGTTGGGCACTGGCCTGATGAGAAGCATTGAGGCCTGAGGAACTGAGGCGGATATCAGTCTGTCGAAGCCAAGGATTCTTAGGGGTGAGCAAGTAAGACGAGAAGTACAGTTAGGATGCCATCCTGGGACTCACCAACCTGGTTCAGAGTCCCAGCTTTGCTGCTTATTGTCTGTGTGACCTGGGGCAAATGATTTAACCTCTTTGAGCCTGAGACTACTTATCTGTAAAGTGGGGATAATTAATAGTACTTATTATACTTTATAAGTGTGAGAATGATGTATGAGAATTAAACAGGCTAATGCTTATAAAATGTTCAGCCTAGGGCCTAGCACAGAGTAAACATGCAATAAATATTTGCTACAACAATGACAACAATTACTACTACAAGTACAATTAATGTTTGACTGCTTCGACTGCTGCTGAGTGGCAGATGGGTCGGCAAAGAAAGATAAGACCCAGTTTATGTGGAAGCACTCAAAAACCCATGAAGCATGAATTCTTTCTGTAGACAATGAAGAAGCAAGGAAAATATTTTTTGAGGAAATAGAAGTCAATTTTACTGGGTTCAGACCTGGAGTCCACAGGGTCTGGAGGACCTCTGTGCACTTGTCAATTTTCTTCTTCTTTTTGTCCTATTTCTGTAGCCTCACAAGCGGTGTCGTTGTTGTTGTATGTTTTCATTTGTTTGTTTGTTTTCTGGTGATGAATCTTGGCCTTCTTCCTCTGTTCCTCCAGAGTGGCTGTCCCTGCCACC